ATTAAATTCAATAACAACGGGCAATTTGATCAAGGAAATGTCGTTGGTCAAAGTGCTGGGTTCCCAGTGTTCGTGAACGATAATGTTCGACTTGGAGGTGTAGATGCGTTGTTGACCCTTTTCGTTGTTGTCCTTGATGTCGATGGCGCCCAAGTAGACGGTAACACCATCAGCACCATCGGTACAATGGGCAGCGGTCAAGATCCAGCGGTTGGAAATCAAGGTACCACCACACCAGGCACCCTGGTTACCGAACACCAAACTCAAACCAACTTGATAGGGGAATTGACCGGCCTTGGCCAATTCACCGTTGGTAATACGTCCTTCCAATTCTACCATGGGCATAACGGGCACCAAGGGAAGGCGTTGTTGTAGTGGTGGCATAACGCCAGCCGAGGCTACGGCCACAAATAAACCAAGAGCTAGTATCACTTTCATTGTCAACGATTAGAGAAAATTGACTGATTTATGTGGTCAACAAACGCCACTTTTATATGAAAAATTTTGGCAATTTTCAATATCGGCTATCTTATCCGCCAACCTTAGACTTTCAAGTGTAACCACACTATCTCTTTACATTGATAAGCTAACACAGGAAATTACCAAAAAAAAAAACTTAGGCCCACTTCAAGATATCCCCGGAATTATCAATTTTTGTCAATGTACGTTGGGCGAAGTATTGGCCCCTGTGCGGTGATAAGGGTCGGCAGTAGTAGTAGTTATTAATCCATAAGTTCTTTGCTGAACTTAGAAGGCCAATAAGGGCGTCACACTTTACCTTATCACCATCGATCCTCAAGAGTTTCATGGGAATTTTCAGCCGATTTTTTAGTTAATGATTATGATGAAATAAGAATACCAAAAATATAAGACCCTGATGGTCCTTGGAAAAATACTCTTTAAAAAATCCACGTTTATTCGTCTGAGAGTCCTTGGAAAAATATTCTTTAAAAAATCCACGTTTATTCGTCTGAGAGTCCTTGTAAAAATATTCTTTAAAAAATCCACGTTTATTCGTCTGAGAGTCCTTGGAAAAATATTCTTTAAAAAATCCACGTTTATTCGTCTGAGAGTCCTTGGAAAAATACTCTTTAAAAAATCCACGTTTATTCGTCTGAGAGTCCTTGGAAAAATACTCTTTAAAAAATCCACTTTTATTGATCCGAGAGTCCTTGGAAAAATATTCTTTAAAAAATCCACTTTTATTGATCCGAGAGTCCTTGGAAAAATATTCTTTAAAAAATCCACGTTTATTCGTCTGAGAGTCCTTGGAAAAATATTCTTTAAAAAATCCACGTTTATTGGTCTGGCGGTCCTTGGAAAAATACTCTTTAAAAAATCCACGTTTATTCGTCTGAGAGTCCTTTGAAAAATACTCTTTAAAGAATCCACTTTTATTGATCCGAGAGTCCTTGGAAAAATATTCTTTAAAAAATCCACTTTTATTGATCCGAGAGTCCTTGGAAAATATTCTTTAAAAAATCCACTTTTATTGGTCTGCGAGTTCTTGGAAAAATATTCTTTGAAAAATCCACTTTTATTGGTCTGCGAGACCTTGGAAAATATTCTTTAAAAAATCCACGTTTATTGGTCTGCGAGTCCTTGGAATAATATTCTTTAAAAAATCCACGTTTATTGGTCTGAGAGTCCCTGGAATAATATTCTTTAAAAAATCCACGTTTATTTGTTTGAGAGTCCTTGAAAAAATATTCTTTAAAAAATCCACGTTTATTGGCCTGAGAGTCCTTGGAAAAATATTCTTAAAAAAATCCACGTTTATTGGTCTGAGAGTCCTTGGAAAAATATTCTTTAAAAAATCCACGTTTATTGGTCTGAGATTCCTTGGAAAAATATTCTTTAAAAAATCCACGTTTATTAGTCTGGCGGTCCTTGAAAAAATATTCTTTAAAAAATCCACGTTTATTGATCTGAGAGTCCTTGGAAAATATTCTTTAAAAAATCCACGTTTATTTGTCTGACGGTCCTTGAAAAAATATTCGTTAAAAAATCCACGTTTATTGGTCTTAGAGTCCTTGGAAAAATATTTTTTAAAAAATCCACGTTTATCGGTCTTAGAGTCCTTGGAATAATATTCTTTAAAAAATCCACATTTATCGGTCTTAGAGCCTTGGAAAAATATTCTTTAAAAAATCCACGTTTATTGGTCTTAGAGTCCTTGGAAAAATATTCTTTAAAAAATCCACGTTTATTGGTCTGACGGTCCTTGAAAAAATATTCTTTAAAAAATCAACGTTTATTGGTCTGAGTATCCTTGAAAAAATATTCTTTAATAAATCAACGTTTATTGGTCTGTGAGTCGCCAATACTATTGGTCTGACGGTCCTTGAAAAAATATTCTTTAAAATATCCACGTTTATTGGTCTGACGGTCCTTGAAAAAATATTATTTAAAAAATCCACGTTTATTGGTCTGACGGTCCTTGAAAAAATATTCTTTAAAAAATCCACGTTTATTGGTCTGACGGTCCTTGAAAAAATATTCTTTACAAAATCAACGTTTATTGGTATGACGGTCCTTGAAAAAATATTCTTTAAAATATCCGCGTTTATTGGTCTGAGTATCCTTGAAAAAATATTCTTTAATAAATCAACGTTTATTGGTCTGTGAGTCGCCAATACTATTGGTCTGACGGTCCTTGAAAAAATATTCTTTAAAATATCCACGTTTATTGGTCTGACGGTCCTTGAAAAAATATTATTTAAAAAATCCACGTTTATTGGTCTGACGGTCCTTGAAAAAATATTCTTTAAAAAATCCACGTTTATTGGTCTGACGGTCCTTGAAAAAATATTCTTTAAAAAATCAACGTTTATTGGTCTGAGTATCCTTGAAAAAATATTCTTTAATAAATCAACGTTTATTGGTCTGTGAGTCGCCAATACTATTGGTCTGACGGTCCTTGAAAAAATATTCTTTAAAATATCCACGTTTATTGGTCTGACGGTCCTTGAAAAAATATTATTTAAAAAATCCACGTTTATTGGTCTGACGGTCCTTGAAAAAATATTCTTTAAAAAATCCACGTTTATTGGTCTGACGGTCCTTGAAAAAATATTCTTTACAAAATCAACGTTTATTGGTATGACGGTCCTTGAAAAAATATTCTTTAAAATATCCGCGTTTATTGGTCTGAGAGTCCTTGGAAAAATATTCTTTAAAAAATCCACAAAAATATTCTTTAAAAAATCCACGTTTATTGGTCTGAGAGTCTTTGGAAAAATATTCTTTAAAAAATCCACAAAAATATTCTTTAAAAAATCCACAAAAATATTCTTTAAAAAGCCACGTTTATTGGTCTGAGAGTCCTTGGAAAAATATTCTTTAAAAAATCTACAAAAATATTCTTTAAAAAATCCACGTTTATTGGTCTTAGAGTCCTTGGAAAAATATTGTTTAAAAAATTCACGTTTATTTTTCTGAGAGTCCTTGGAAAAATATTCTTTAAAAAATCCATGTTTATTTTTCTGAGAGTCCTTGGAAAAATATTCTTTAAAAAATCCATGTTTATTGGTCTGAGAGTCCTTGAAAAATATTCTTTAAAAAATCCATGTTTATTGGTCTTAAAGTCCTTGGAAAAATATTCTTTAAAAAATCCACGTTTATTGGTCTTAGAGTCCTTGAAAAATATTCTTTAAAAAATCCACGTTTATTGACCTGAGAGTCCTTGAAAAAATATTCTTTAAAAAATCCACGTTTATGGGCCTGAGAGTCCTTGAAAAAATATTCTTTAAAAAATCCACGTTTATTGACCTGAGAGTCCTTGAAAAAATATTCTTAAAAAAATCCACGTTTATTGGCCTGAGAGTCCTTGAAAAAATATTCTTTAAAAAATCCACGTTTATTGGCCTGAGAGTCCTTTAAAAAATATTCTTTAAAAAATCCACGTTTATTGGCCTGAGAGTCCTTGAAAAAATATTCTTTAAAAAATCCACGTTTATTGGCCTGAGAGTCCTTGAAAAAATATTCTTTAAAAAATCCACGTTTATTGGTCTGAGAGTCCTTGGAAAAATATTTTTTAAAAATCCACGTTTAAGGGCCTGATGATCCTTTAAAAAAATATTCTTTAAAAATCCACGTTTAAAGGCCTGTAGGACCTTGAAAAAATATTCTTTTAAAAACCCACGTTTAGAGACCTGATGGTCCTTAAAAACAATATTCTTTAAAAATCCAAGTTTTAGGGCCTGATGGTCCTTTAAAAAATATTCTTTAAAAATCCAAGTTTTAGGGCCTGATGGTCCTTTAAAAAATATTCTTTAAAAATCCAAGTTTAAGGGCCTGATGGTCCTTTAAAAAATATTCTTTAAAAATCCACGTTTAAAGGCCTGAAGGACCTTGAAAAAATATTCTTTTAAAAACCCACGTTTAGAGTCCTGATGGTCCTTGAAAAAACAGTCTTTAAAAAATCCACGTTTATTGGTCTGAGAGTCATTGCAAAGATATTCTTAAAAAAATCCACGTTTAAGGGCCTGATGGTCCTTGAAATAATATTCCTTAAAAATCCACATTTAATGGTCTGCCAGTCCTTAAAAATATTTTTGAAAAATCGACTATTACTGACGCGATGTCCGTTCTCCTCTAAACCGTTTTTCGAAATGAATAATTTTCTTTTCGATACTCAATCCCGTACCGTTATTGGATTTTCCTATTTCGACAACCTATACCAACATTTTCTACAAACCTATTTCATTTCCCATTTGGTGGCCTTATCTCGGAAGCAGGTCAGAAATGGGTTTGCTGATAACCCATCGGAAATTAATAACTACAATTACCTATGTTTGATTCTTTATCAAATTGGGAGGGAAGAATTGGAAAAAGCCCAATAACCGAACCTTACAGCATATTTTTATGGTACAAGCTTCTGGCTAAGATAAGACGAATGCTGCGCTAATTTGCTCTGCCAAATTTCCATAAGTTCTCCAACTATAAATACCTTGAAATTGCAGCAGAAACATCAGACAATTCTTCAACTTCCTTTCGAAATGAAGTCCCTAATTGCCCTTAGTCTAATTGTGGCAACGGCCTCGGCTGGCATTGTGCCACCAATTCACGAACGTCTTCCTGCCATCCCAGTAATGCCTCTTCCAGAATTCGAGGGTCGCATTACCAATGGTGAATTGGCCAGGGCTGGGCAATTTCCCTATCAGGTGGGACTAAGTTTGGCCTTTGGCGAAGATACTTTCTGGTGTGGTGGTACTTTGATATCAAATCGTTGGATTTTAACAGCTGCCCATTGTACAGATGGTGCGGATGGAGTCACCATTTATTTGGGCGCCATTGATGTTCGCAACCACAATGAAAAGGGTCAACAACGGATCTACTCCTCCAGATCGAACATTATTGTTCACGACCTATGGAATGGTGAGACAATGGCCAATGACATCTCTCTCATCAAAATGCCTGTGATTATTGAATTCAATGATCGCATCCAACCGGCTGTTTTACCCAAGAAGAATGGCCAATATTCGTCATATGAAGGGGAATTGGTTTGGGCCTCCGGCTGGGGCAGAGACAGTGATGAGGCCTCATCTATTTCTCAATTCTTGCGTTACATTGAGGTGCCCGTCATGAAGCAGAGCACCTGCAATACCTATTATTTGGGATCGATTAGCGAAAAGATGATCTGCATCAGCACCAAGGGTAAGAAGTCAACATGTAATGGCGATTCTGGTGGTCCCTTGGTCTACAAGCAGGATGGTGAGAATGTTGTTATTGGTGCTACCTCGTTTGGCATTAAATTGGGTTGTGAAAGCGGTTGGCCTGGTGTGTTCACCCGTGTCACCTCCTACTTGGACTGGATCGAGGAGAAAACGGGCATTGTTAATAATTAAAGTGTGAATGGAATTTTAATTAAATAAACATAACATATTGTATAAATGAATTTTTAATGATGTTCTTCTGGAAGGGCTGAGGTCGTGATATTTTATAAATCCTTTAAATTTAAAAAAAATCGAATTCGAGCCTACGTGCTCGCTATCCTCCTGAAAGATTATTCCCATAAACAATATTTTGCTTTAAACACACATTTTAAAAAAAATGTCGATCAGGAGTTGTGAGACTTAAAAATTAAAAAAATCAAAATTTTAAAAAATCTGAAAAAAGTCCTTCAAAAAATACTCTAAAAAAATCTGAGAGTCCTTTAAAAAAATCAAAACAAACCAATAGTCCTTAACTTTTTTTTTAAAAAATATAGGAAATATGGCTCCTTTAGAACTTCAAAAATTATTTTAAGACGCCATGAAGAAAGCTCTGCTGATTCTTTAAAAACATTTTTAAAACAATTCCCTCTGGTAGTCCTTCGAAAAATACTCTGAAAATGTGATAGTCCTTGAAAAAATGTTTTAAATTTGTTCCCTTCAAAAATGTTTTTTAAGAAATTTGAGAGTCCTATAAAAATCCATACAAGTCCTCAAAAAATTGTTTAAAATCCACGATATGTGGCACTCATTGTTCTTTAAAACAACTATTTTTGAGAGTCACGAAGATAGCTCGGCTGGTACTTCAAACATATGGTTTAACAATTCACAGTTTGGGTTGTGGTAGTTTGTTTTCCAAGAAATCATACTAAGTAGCTTGGATATAAATATTTTTCTTCAAAGTATGAACAATTGGTAGTTTTAATAGTCCTCCATAAAAATCTGAATTGGAGATAACTGTTAGTCGTTCAAAAAAATATCTTTAGGAAACTCACAATAGGTTGCTCTGATGGTACTCTAAAAAACTTCTTTAAATAATTGATAATTTTGATACTGTTATTGATAATAAAATGTTCTTCAAAAATCCATAATTGCTACCTCTAATAGACCTGGGAAAAATATTTTTAAAAAATTATGAGACCTTCAAAATTTAACTTAAAAGTTAAAGATTTTAAAAACAAACAAAAATTTAAGGGCCCTTGAAAAAATATTCTTTAAAAATCCTCGACTATTTCTCTGTAGGTCCTTGAAAAAGTATTCTTTAAAAATCCACGTTTATTAATCTGTGGCTCCTTCAAAAATTATTCTTAAAAATCCACGACTATTGCTCTGTGGGTCCTTGAAAAAATATTCTTTAAAAATCCACGACACTTGCTCTGTGGGTCCTTGAAAAAGTATTCTTTAAAAATCCACGTTTATTAATCTGTGGGTCCTTGAAAAATTATTCTTAAAAATCCACGATTATTGCTCTGTGGGTCCTTGAAAAATTATTCTTAAAAATCCACGATTATTGCTCTGTGCGTCCTTGAAAAAATATTCTTTAAAAATCCACGACTATTGCTCTGTGGGTCCTTGAAAAATATTCTTTAAAAATCCACGACTATTGCTCTGTGGGTCCTTGAAAAAATATTCTTTAAAAATCCACGACTATTGCTCTGTGGGTCCTTGAAAAAATATTCTTTAAAAATCCACGACACTTGCTCTGTGGGTCCTTGAAAAAATATTCTTTAAAAATCCACGAAACTTGATCGGTGGGTAATTGAAAAAATATTCTTTAAAAATCCACGACACTTACTCTGTGGGTATTTTAAAAAATATTCTTTAAAAATTCACGACTATTGCTCTGTGGGTATTTGCAAAAATATTCTTCAAAAATCCACGACTATTGCTCTGTGGGTCCTTGAATAAATATTCTTTAAAAATCCTCGAATATTGCTCCGTGGGTCTTTCAAATATATTCTTTAAAAATCCATGATTATCGCTCGATGTCCTCGAAAAAAATTCTAAAAAATGACGCATGTAGCTCTGATAGTCCCCCAAAAAATATTATTTAAAACCATTACTAGTGTCCATAATAATCCTTGAAAACATATTTTTAAAAATTCAAATCCTTGACAAAATATTAAAATCAAACATTAGATCTAATAGTCCTTGATTTTTTCCTTCAAAATTCACGGATTGTGACTCTAACATTCCTTACAAAATTTTTCTTGAAAATCGACGATTAGTGGCTCTAAAAAAATCCATATTTTTGGCTTTTATGGTCCTTGAATAAATGTTCTTCAAAATCCACAAATAGTGGCTCTGGTGGTCCATGAAAAAATATTCTTAAAAAAACACAATTTTTGGCTCTAATAATCCTTGAAGAAATATTTTTAAACATCTATGTTTTTTGGCTTTGTTGGGCTTGATAAAATATTCTCAAAAATGTACGACTCAGTAATCCACGATGGATTAAGTCCTTCAATAATATTCCTAAAAAATCAACTATTTTTGGATCTAATAGTCCTTGACAAATACTTTTAAAATTCCACAATTTGTGGCTCTAGTAGCCCTTGAAAAAGTTTTTTTTTAAAAAAAATATATTTTCTAATAGTCCTAGAAAAAAGTACGATAATTTTTGTTCTGCAGGTCCTTAAAAACATATTTTTTTCTGTTGGCCATTTAAAAAAAATATATATATTTAAAAATTCTCGATATGGGGCTGTGATGGTACTCAAAATAATATTATTTTAAATTCACGATTTTTGACCCTGAATGTCCTTAAAAATCCATTATTAGTGGCTCTAATAATCCTTGAAAAAATATTCTTAAAAATCCACAATTAGTGACTTTGATGATCTTTGATAAAATATTCTTTAAAAACTCATGTCTGTGGCTCTAAAGGTTCTTTAAAAATCCACCCCCGTAGCTCTGATGGTCCTTGAAAACATATACATAAAAAATGCACGTCGTCCTTAAAAAAATCCTAACAAATTCATTTTTTTGGTGAGTATTAATGATCTTTGAAAAAAAAAATCTTCTCAAAATATCTATATTTATAAAAAAAAATGTTCTTCAATTGTATTTTTTTTAATCTTTCATAGATGGCTCGGTTAGTCCGCCAGAAACATTCGCATAAAATCTGGGACTATTAGTCGTTGAAATATTACTCTTAAAAGATCAAGATTTAAAGCTTTCGGGTCCTTAAACAATTTTTTGGAAAGCCTATGATTGTTGACCCGTGTGTCGTACCTTCGAAACATATTCTTAAAAAATCCAAATAGTTGATATTTTTAAATTTATTGTAAATTATTAAAAAGTGTGTGTTTATAATTCGCGGCGTAATTCATAAATGGAATTTCACAAATTTTCATTAAATCAAGGGAAATCCAATTAGTTGGCCAGCCGATAAGGCAAAATAATCTCAAGTGGGGGTCAATAAAAGTGTGTTCAATCGTGTTTTACAATAGGTTAAGTTTGAAAATTATTCAAAATGTTTTATGGCAGATAAGAAGTTAATTCGTTATTAGAATACGAAAACATACTCATTGAGGTGGGAAATTTTGGTCAAGGGAAATCCAATTTTCCTGCAAACCAATAAATTAAACAAATTAAAAAGTATCAGTCGCTTTTTCCGAGAGATGTATACCCCCAGCCTTGAGTTATGATTATTCAAACTGTTGACCCATTAAGGGGAGATTCCGAAGCAGTTGGCCAGTATTGTGCAAATTTTTGGAAAATGTGGAATATGCGTGAGGTAACAAATATAGCGGACAGAAATATTCCGATTTATTTAATACAGATAAAAATATTGGTACGTGCAAAGTTTAAAGGAAATCAAACATATATATCCAATTTTATACGAAATCATAAATTCCGATTAATCGCGTATTTATATCAGATTTCTTGCTAAGGGAAATATTTATAGAATCGCTGACTTGTTTCGCAATTATGAAAGATATAAGTATTGGAAATTTGTAACATATCTTGTGCTGAGAGATTTGCCAAGTCTAAATGGAATCGGATATTAATTTCACATCTTATGGAGTGGACCGATATTGTTCATTTTCGCACCTGACCTAGCACTGATTCAATTATTAGGATTTGCAATGTTGGAGAAAAATCGGATTATCCTTTCTCTTTCTGTGCAGTAAATTATTTTCTTTGAAAATATCGACATTTTGTGTGGGAGGTACCAGAAGGAGTGGGCCGATATTGCTCATCTCCGAACTCGATCTAATTCTGACAATAATATTACTATATAACAAGTTTGAATCAAATCGGATACTCCCTTCGAGAGTTATCGTGCGCACCAGCCAGTCAGACAGATGGACGGACGGACATCGCTAGATCGCCTCCAAATGTACTGACACGGATTTGTCCAAAGACACCTAGGGCCTAAAAACGTTATTTCTATAAGGCACGTTTTGGCCGTATCAAATGATATATACCCTCTCTAGCCATATGGCTGAGGGTATAACAAGTACAAAACGAAAACCTAAATATTCAATGTTCTGGCCGCCGAAGCTAGAGCCCATTATGAACTACAAATGCCAACTTTTAGATAAATCAGTGGAAAAATGCGGCAAAAATTACCAAAATACCGAATATCCCGAGGTACTATTATGTGGGGGGCTACGTCGATCTATACAGGGTGAGATGAAAAAACTGCAATCAACTTCAGACTGCTGTCATTTCTAAGCCACTCGTCCGACAGCTGTTAAAATTATTCCAGTGACAGCTCATTATATTGTTTACAAGCGTACAAAAGCATTTTGGTGAGAATTTTCCAGAAAAAATCTTATTCGCGATGGAATTCAAGCGTGATAGTGTGACTTCTTTATATTTGGCTGGAAAACCACAAACCAAGTGGATATCGTTAGAGCACTCCAGCATTTAAATGTGAATAAATCTTTTGTGTCTCGTACCATCGCTCGTTATCGCATTACTCGTAGCGACGTCAGGGAAGTGGGCGGAAGACACCAGCAACATCAGCAAAAATGGTTCGAGAAGTAAAGAAGCGGATTGATTGAGACCTGCGTCGCAGTGCCCGAAAAATGGCTCGTGAGATGAACATTTGGCAATATTAAATTCGGCATGTATTGGAAAATGAGTTCGGGGTAAAGCCATTGAAATTCCAAAATATGCAAGAACTTACACCTCAACAGAAAGAAAATATACTTAAAGGAGCTAACGAGTCGCT